ATGAAGCAGTCAATACTATAGTAATAAGAGAGAGACAAACTCTTCAAATTGTTTAAATGGAGAAAAAAATTATAAAGTAGCAGCAATGTTCGTTACCTACAACTAGCCGAGAATGATAAGAGCATCATTCTCTTCTTTGTAGGTAGATATACGAATTGGCAAATTTATTGTTGCAGTAATAAATAATAGAGTAAAATATATACAATTTTGACTTTATAATCCAAAACCGGCAAAATTAAACTGAAGTGACTATAGGTTTCTCGTTTTTCAAGTTATTTATCTCCTATTAAAACCAAAATTTAATACAAAATACCACGAAATATCGGACAGTTGTCAAGAATAATTTTAGAAAATCGAAATTGAGAATTCGTTGTTATCAGTTAAAAGACCCTGAAAAGGACAAAAATAGAATACTAACATTTATTTTCGTTAATACTGACAGTGTTGATAGCTCTGTTGACACGGAACGGAGTAAGATATAAAAAATTTGAAATGTTCTTAAAACTGAACAGAAATTTTTAAATTTATACAACTACAAATGTTGGCGGTGGTTAATATAATCTCTACAACAAAATGATTGTTAATTGATTTAGCACATACATTTTAAGTACAGGGTGTTTCATCTGAGGCGGTTTCGTCCATAACTCTGTTATTATACATTTAAGAAAAATGTTTTCATAAAAATGGTCTGGAATCATATGGTGCATATACAGAAAATACTTTCAGTCATACAGGGTGTTCCATTTGTTCCTTATTTTAAATGGAACACTCTATATGTTTCCATATTTTTGGTTTCTTTGTTGAAATTTAGTTAGATTTTGTTCCCTATACCTATCTCTAGTAGTTGTTGAGATATTCAACTGTTTTAAAAAAAAAATACAGCTTTAGCTCTTTGAATGAGACGAAATAGCGTCTAAACCATAACCTGCGGTTTGGACAGTTCGTTTTAGGATGAGGTACCATATCTTTTTTGCTATAGGCAGAATGTGTAGGTTACTCAGGACCGGAAATATCGAAATATACTTTTGGCAATCTTACAAGACGAATAATTTTTTTCAAATGGAATTAACCACATTAAATGGTACTGTTCGATGCGAAATGAAAAGTTCTTTCTACTGATATAAGGTTTTAAATATTTATCTGTAACAGTATTCCAGAAAAAAAATCGATTATTTTATATTTAAAAGAAATACGCAATCCTCAGTGCGCGAGTCTGACTAGCACTTAACCAGCTTTTTATTATTAAAAAACGTATTAGAATGTTAAAAATAAATTACTTACATTGCTGTCTTCGTGGTATTGTTATGTTCTATGATTCTTCCTTAGAACTCACTAAAGTAGTAGCCTTTAGTAATAATTCTTCTACTATTAATTAATTAATACAATATGTTTAAATGTAGTTCCTAAACGTAACTTAATAATGTCTAAAGGGATAAAATGAAGACCTGGTTAATGTGCCATTGCTTTATAACCTACCTAAAGTACCGTTAAATAGATAAAAAGAACACATTTTTTTAGTCACTATCAGCCATCTTGCAAAAAATCCTTCGTTCCAATAACTATTACAGTTAATAGGCATAAGGTTAGATAAAGGGAATCTTGTTTGTGCAAGTTGGTATACGTTCGTTTGTAGGCTTATGTACACACAACACAGATGCATATATACACACAGGATATGCATTTGTAACTTCAAGTGTCCCGGTTATTGCAAAATTTCCTCGGTAGTTTCTATTTTTTAACCCTGATCGATCAGAAATCGTCACTGATATGAAAAATCAATTTATATCCACTCTACAGTTACACAGGGAGTTCGAAAAATAATTGACGAGAACGAATTAAGTTCTTGATCAGTAATTTATCCCAACTACCTATAGGATCTCAATTTCGACAGTATTAGGTCTCATAAACACGCCATAGACACTCTGGAATAGTTCAGTTAGTAGCATGTAATCAGAAAACAGCTTCTAAGGATTTGGTCAGTCGAGGTATGCTGATGAGATCTAATAAAATCAAAATGGTGTTTCAATAAATTACTGACTAATAACTTATACTGTTCTTAATACAATTATTTTATGGAAATACACAACTAATGGTTCATACACGTGTGCCCAGGCGTATAGTAGTGATATACATATTTTTAAATGCAAAAGATATTGGCTAATTTGGTCAGGAAGATAATAATTATTATCAAGATAAAATTTAGTCTAATTAATGATGAGCAAAATTCGTTACATTTTCGCAAGACGAAGACCAACACTGTCTTTATACTAGCAAGAAAGGTCAAGACCAAACCTCAACGAACAAGACCAAAACCAAGACCAAATACGTAAGGCTGAACGAAAAATTATTACTTCCGGTGGATTTATGAGTTAAACTATTTGAAGCAAGTTTAATATATTCTTTTCTTGGAACAAAACTTGTTTAGTATTTAAAATTTTCAATTTACTTTACTAGATTTTAGCACTAGATTTAAAAGAAAGAAACCTTGTCATCTTTTTAAAATAGGGATCTACAAGAATATCCTCCAAATAAGTGTTCGTTGTTCCCATGCCTGGATAACACATGGTTGAAATATTAGAGATAAACTATTTTTTTTTTCGACGTTTTATACTAAAAGGTCAATTTATGCGTTGGGGGAAGGATCAGTTTATTAGAGGCAGGGGTTCTGGAGTTTTCATAACTATCACAACAATTTGTGCTCATTAGAATTGTTAAAAAAATATAAGTATCAGATTCAATGAAGAATACCAAAACTATACCCGGTAGACCAAAATCAGAACCGAGACTATGTCAGCAAGACCAACACTAAGACTGGAAGTATTTGGGCAAGACCAAGATCGAATAAGCAAAACCAAGACCAATACCAAGACTCGGACAGTTTTGGATTTGACCTTGCTTTGCTCTTTACTAGTAATTAAAGCCAAGAAGGACAAAAAGCATTATTATTTAAAAACCAAAGCCAACGTTTCGCCATAAGTTATTAATCTTTTTCAAGCCTATGAATTTAATTACTCGCCTAAAAAAAACTAAAGCATTAATAACCATTACCGTTAGTTCCAGAATGTTAAACCTCTTAACTATTGAGGTTTTTATAATCCAGTTTCATCTTTTTAACATGCCTTTCAATTTGATTACATTAAATACATTATTATTAGTATTCTTTTTAATAAAATTGGAAATCTCTCATTTCAATGTTATACGCAAAAAAATAGTGGTAATTAATTTAATTTCATAAATGCAATCTTGTTGACTTTGTTCAGTAGGTATTAAAATTGAGGCCAGTTAACCGATTTTTTTAAACTATTAACATACAACTGCCTTCTTATCTTTAGTAATTCCATTTTTCAGGTTAATGAAATATTAAGGCTATCTCATCAAACTTGTATGAAGACTGGTAGACAGGTATATATAAAAATTATTACTTTGTAATATATTACTTTCCTATGTCTATACAATTATTTGCGTGAATGTCTGGCGCCTCCACCAAATCTTACTTTTATTCCAATCCAAAACAGCAATTCTATAATTTTTTTCGAATATAACTCTCCTAATATGACAAATAAATCAAAATGCAAAAACAAAAACTAGTTAATGATTAAAAACAGTTTTTTTCTCATATTGTAGGGATGAGTTACAAAGATAGAAGAGTGATACTTAGTTTGTATAAAGAGCAACCGGCAGCTGTAGAGCTAGGGATGCAACGTAGAGAAGTAAATATTAGGAAGGGAGTCAGACAGGGATGCACACTGTCACCGCTACTTTTTAATCTATAGATCGAAGACGCCATCAACATCATTAAAGACAGTACAACTGTAGCGATAGGTATATAGGGGCAAAAGATTAGTAGTATGCTTAGATTTGCACATGACATAGCAGTATTAGCATCTAGCAAGGAAGAGTTCCAGATAACTTTAAATAAAATGGAAGCGGTATTGATAAAATAGTACTGTATGAAAATAAATAAAAGTAAAACTAAAATACTGGTATGCAAGGGAAGAAAAAGTAGGGAAAGAGCGAATATAAAGATAGGAGACGAAAAATTAGAAGAAGTGGCTGATTTTAAATACCTAGGAAGTCAGATAAATCAGGATGGAAGGAGTAGTAGGGATATAAAGCAGAGGATAGCGCAGGGCCATGTCGCCTTTAATAAAAAGAAGTCACTTCTATGCTCGAGAACGGTTAATTTAGAAATTCGAAAAAGGTTGTTAACGGTATATGTTTGGAGCACGGCATTGTACGGGTGCGAAACATGGACAGTGGGCGCGGCGGAAAAGAAACGGTTAGAAGCGTTCGAAAAGTGGTGTTATAGGCGGATGATGAGGATATCGTGGGTAGAAAAGGTTAGAAATGAAGAGGTATTGGAAAGAATAGGAGAACAGAGGACTATATGGAAGTCAATAAAAAATAGGCGAGATAGGTTGGTAGGACACCTTCTCAGGCACGAAGGTCTAGTCAGAGACATATTAGAGGCTGAAACAGGAGTTAGAAGGGGTAGAGGTAGGCCTAGATTAGATTACTGTTCGCAAATAGTTAAGGATGTGGGTTGTTCTAGTTTTAGGGAAATGCGAAGTTTAGCTCAGGATAGGAAAGAGTGGAGGTACGTGTCCAACCAGTCTTAGGACTGACGACCTTATGATGATGATGATTGCTATTTTGATCAAAATCTGTAAAAAGTTAACAACCAACTTATTAATGTACAATGTACAGGGGACAATTTTATATTGTCGGGAAGGATACTTAAAGGGTAATTTCTGAAACTATTACACGTTAATAAAATATTGGATTAAATAAAAGTAGAAATTTCATGCTTCGTAATAAGATAAAAAGGTACTTAGGTGGCTGGTTTTTGAAAAATAAGCAAATTAAATGATAAGGCGTCAAAGTGCAAGAAAATCTATGTTTAACGCAAAAAAACTGTTAAATGTTAGTAAATAAGTGATTAATAATAGCAAATGGATACTACCTTGTCTAGAACCAATACTCGATTAACCTTTGCTTATATTTTTAATAACGATCTCATACTTGCACATTGTCAAAATTGGAATGATGTTTACATTCAGAAGTATTGTAACTTTGACACACCTTCTTGTCGCATATTATTATATCAGAATGTCAAAACTGGGTTGAATACTTGAACGAACATGAGGAGTTCTATTTTTGGCTTTTGAAGAGGGTGCCCAAGACACTTCTTGTCCGACATAAAAGACTTAACATTCGACAGATATTATATATGACCCGAAAAAGCCCCCGAATTAGTTGTTGATAGACTATGTGATTGTTGTGCGCTGTACGTTTCGGTCCTTTCAATCTTCTTCGTCCTCCTCGGAGCTTTCTCGGCCATGTTTATGCTACGCGGAGATGGGATCGTGTTGTGTGGAAAACGATGGACGAGGACATTATATAAATTCACCTAAATTTTGTTAAAATCGTCTTTTGCAACCTCATTATCTTTATTTATTATTATTAAGTAAACAAAGAAAGAAAATATAGTTGCTGAAAACAACACATTACTCCAAAGTGTTATTACGTAAGTAAAAAGTTCTTTATCAATGTCAAGTAATGGACCTGAGTGAAAAACGAAAAAGCATAATAATTATTAAAATTCATTTATTAGTTATTTGTCAGTAGAATTTCTGTTTTTTTTTAACTTATCAACACGGATGTGATTTATTTGAAATACTTGCGCATTTGAAATGCAAACAGAAAATGAATATAAATACTTTCTTGACGAAGTTAAAATACTTTTCTAGGCATATTTCCTATTTGTAAAATTGTAAAATAGTTTTTGCCGTTAAGTTTTGTTATTATCATAAGTATATCAGAAAACAATATCGGATCGATGTATACCGGCCGTGGATGCCTGACAATTATAATAAATATAATCAAAAAGTCTTAAAAACAATTTGGAAAACGTTATTTATTGGATGAACTTAAAACTAAAGATTCCATTTCTTCCCTTTATTACAATGTGTAAAAGATCAAAGTCCTAATGAGATTGTAAGCATTTTTTTGATAAAATTATTTATAACGTTATTTTGACTCTGATCTTTTATACATTGTAATAAGGGAAAGAAATAAAATCCATAATTTGTTTAGCTTTAAGTTCATCGCTGAGGAAACAGTTTCAACTAGAATCATCTAGTTTTTTCCAAATAAATAAACAAAATAATAAATTATTTACAACTTTATATTTTACTAGGTTTTATCCACGGCTGCGATCGCGCTAATGTCCCAAATACGTGCCGAAGGTCATCGACGACCACATAAAACTAATTTTTCTAACCTTNTCCGAAAATAGGACGATTGTCGCGTCGTATCGTCAGATAACAAATTCTAGACAGTCGGGAGTTACCTTGCACGTTATACGAAAACAAAATAATAAATTATTTACAACTTTATATTTTACTAGGTTTTATCCACGGCTGCGATCGCGCTAATGTCCCAAATACGTGCCGAAGGTCATCGACGACCACATAAAACTAATTTTTCTAACCTTCAGGAACAGTATTCTTCCAGATAAAAAGTTTCCTCTTTCATTCCCTGTACGCCTGGCAACGTCTATACAAAATTTCAGTAGTTAGGACGTAGAATGTTAGTAAACAAACTGACTTTTTTACAGAAAACTAATTATAAAATATCTCCCATTTTAAAAGTTCACAAGACAAAAAGTTAATCATTACTAACTCCCCTTAAATTTTGTAGAATTACTTTATTATAATCTTGGGTTTTAGGTTTTTCCCTTTAGAATTTTGTTACAACTTTGTCAAAAGTACTCACTTTCCTTCCTAACTTTTGAATAACAAAAATAAGTCAACAATTAAAAAGCCTTTTAGTTGCAAAAATTTATTGTTTACAACATGAGCCACGAGTGCTTGCTTCTTGCTATCGTAACCTTATGATCCTAAGTAATCAAACATAAGCAAAACGACTTAATCTACTTGAATGAAATTTTCACGCATCATATACTTGGAAAGAAAAAAGACAGCTCAATATATTTATCATAATTACTAGAAACAGGTAATTTTTTCCAAACTTATGCTTTTTTTTCATGATGTAACGTTCTAGAACAATATTGAATATTTTTTTTATGTCTTTCATATAAACTAATTTTACGTAAAGAGTTTAAAATATCACTATTTTGACGAAATTTTAACGGCTTCTATCCATAAAATAAACTGATATTAATCTGTTTTCTCATGTTTTTCATAATGACAAATAATAAATAAAGAACCAGTGTAATATTATATTTACTGTAATACAGTACATTACATATACATATTCAAAACATTTATACTAAAATTTTTTTTAATTTCTCAGTTTTGTTACAGTTTTCTTTTGAAAAAAAAAATACCGTTACGTTGGTAAGAATTAAATATCTCCCTTTTACGTAACAGTGTCCTCAAACTAAATCCCAACAAAAGCGGAAGTTACCTAAAAAATTTAATCTAAAAAAGAATTTTTGCGTTTATTGAATTCGCCATGATCTCAGAATAAAAAGTCTTTCACGTTATTCAGCTGTCTCATCTAAACTCAAAATTAAATAAATTTTGGAAAGTTATTTAGAGAAAAAATATACTATAATCGTCAAATTAGTACATTTTATATACTTTAAGCTGATCTACTTTATGGTAACTCCTCAGTAAATTAGTCTAATATATCAGGGCTTCGTCATGTGACAGATAATAAAATTCGGGGTAACTATGGATTGAGGTATTCCAAATAGAAAACCTTAATATCTACAAAAACATGAAAACAAATATTAATGATGAAAAGGGAAGAGGATTATTGTTCGATATTAAGTAAAAATTAATCATACGTTAGGTTCAAAATTTAAAACTGATTTTCTGTAGTTCTTACAATAAAAATAAAGTTTCCTTCATGATTACGGTAATAAGGAAATAATAACTTGATTAAACAAGCTGAGAACAAAAAAATTAAATTCATAATTTGGTAGTAACAGTGAGGACGAAAACAACGTAAGAAAGCACTTTTTATAAAGCCAAAACCAACACGTTAGGGATTAATGAATGTTTATAAAAAGATATAAATCCAACTGATTGTTTGGATTATAATCGTTGTTAAAACAGATATTCCTTCAACATTCCTAATAACGCGTTTCAGAAAATACTACAAATGGCGCAGTAAACGCCATCTGTAGCACGATGCTACATTTTAGGATTACGTATGTATGAATACAGACCACTTCGAATTATTTTATTTCTAATAACTTCAAGTATTCTTATAAGAAATGCTTAATGAGTGTAACTGAATAAGTACTTTGTGGAAATATGCACTGCCTGCCAAGCACTCTATGATGTTAACTATCTCAATTAACCAACTGTGTAATTTAGACATACAAATTAAAGTGTATTTAATAAAAAGTCATAACTGTAAAGTCTTGATCAACAATTTATCGAAAACTGATGTTACAGAAAGTGTCTTTCTTGTAGGCAAAATGAACTATCCTGAGGTTCGTAATACCGCAAAAAGAGAAAAGAATACAAAAATAGAAACCCCTTTTTTCCAGGGTTAAAATAATGTAGGACACTCTAGATTAAAAACCAAGATAAAATAAATCTTACTTGTTACAATGTTAATTACTACAAACTTAACAAATTAATTATTTATACATACGGGTAGGTAAACATGAATATATATAAGACTTTAAATGCCTAATAAAGTCGATTACATCTTAATATAATAAACCTTCATAATATGGTCTAATTTAAACATTTACTAAATCGAGATCGTCAAAGCATCAAATTATTACTGGCATTTTATCAAATTAATAAATCCTTAATTAAAGTTTAGGAGCTACTTAATTAATAGATATATATATAATAATCTATGATTCTTCCTTA